GGTGAAATTTAAGTTGCTTTCCACCCCAAACTGTTCTGATTTCACGATGCTGAGRTTGACAGAGCTCAGATGGGAACATGGAGCTGTGGAAAGCCCTTCCTGACCTAAGGAATGTCTGACTGCTCTGCCTGGGGAGGTGCTGCTGATTCTCACAGCACTCCCAGGAGGCTGTTGGACACAGCATAGCCAGGTCTTACCCCATGAGGTCTGGACAGGGTCAATTAATCTGTGATTAACTTTTATCCTGCTCCCTAGCCTTGGACAGAGGGAAGTGTGTAGCTCTAAAGYCTGAGGGGTTTGCCTTGAAAAGGCATCTGATGCCTTGTTCAGGCTTACCTAAAACAGAAACTGGGCAAAATTCAGAGAATAAAAAGCAGTTCTGTTTATTGCAGGGCCTTCAAGAACATTCAGAGCAATCCCAGCCCACCCAGGGGCTGCACCCACAATGGACAATGGCTCATGGGTTTTTCACCCTTTCTCACTTTAGTCCATTTGCAGATCAGGTCTGAATCCTCCAATTGCAGCTGCAGCCAATGCAGTCATTCACTCCAAGTTGGCTCCCCCAATTCTCTGTTGTTTCCATCTCTTGGGGCCTGGCCCAGTGAGGTGTCCTTGAGTTTGGGGCTGCAGAGGAATTGTTATATGTAAAAATGGGAGAGCAGAAGCTCAGCACTGTCTGTGGAGTCTGGAGTTAAACATTAAAGAATTACAGTGTTACAGAGACATGAAAATATACAAACTGAGATCCTAAGGCATCATGTCAACCAGGGCTGGTTTGCAGCTGTGGGCAGCCAAGGAAAGGGGATTTGGGTGCTGTTTGTCCTCACAGCCCTTTCTGCTCCTTGTGCAGATGCCTACTCCCTGTCRGTGAGGGACAGCAACTCCGTGCACGGGGACGTCATCAAACACTACAGGATCCGCTCCCTCGATGGAGGGGGGTTTTACATCTCCCCCAGGATGACCTTCTCCAGCCTGCCAGAGCTCATCCATCATTACAGCCGTAAGTTGGTCGCCTTTCCTCGTGGGTTTGTGTCCTGGAAGAGGGCAGGGACAGAGMGGGGACAGGCTTGGGGGACAATCACAGCTGCTCCAGACACTTTCACAAGCCAGGTGTGCTGCTACAATCAAAACCCATTTCCATCCTGGGGAATTGCAAGG